TGCATTGATTTATAATATATTTTGAAACAGTAGTCGTAATGTAATGTAAAAAATATAAACGTAAAAGTTTTTAAACATAACAACTCTTTTTATGGGGGACGGGAAGGAAAGTATGATTTTAATTATTTAATTATCATTAGTTAATGACATTAGTCTAAATGTCTACTGAATAGTCACATTTGGTTTATATTTCTTAATATACATTAAAAACAACAAAATACAGTATTGAATGACAAATACAGTGGAAGTATGATATAAATAAGAGCACAGAATATATTGAAAGTAATTTATTGAATATAATTAAAGCGCCAAAAATTGAAGGCTATATACATGCGAGAGGTTTGTCACAAATGACTAATGAATCAGAGCTTTTAATCAATGCATATATTCCTATCGAAAACATTTGAATTACATATGAGAGGCAGAAAAGAGCAAAAATAGCATTCAATGTATAACTTATTCTGTGAGTGTGTTGTATAACATGTGCTCACAATGTTTGCAATGTTTGCGAGGGCTTTGAGGTTCACTCGAATCCCACAGTTTTCTAATACACAAGACTTACACTATTCGAGAGTTTCAGTGGTTTTAGTGTTGTTGCGCTAAACTGTCGCACATTTCCAGTCATTCAAAACGTGACTTCCATAGCGTGTATCCACTTCTTCATCACCACCACAACCATCACTACATCACATCCCAGTCCACAGTCACTCATATTCTGTACGTACTTTTAGCTTGTTTATAATTAATAATATTACAATTTGCTTCAATATTATTCCAGTTGTTGATAAATATATTTAGTAAATGTATTATGAGTTCATAGCTCTGGCAAAGTTGCCAATCGATAACTTCTATGAATGCATTAGTATTGATACATCTCTACATTGACAACATTAACATTGTGTGTGTTTCATGTAATATATTTATGTGGTTACAAAATGACAGTTAATTGTAAACCAGAAATGAAGTGCTAATCATTAGTCGCAATCATATCTCCAACTAAATCAATGTATTTCCATAAGAAATACAGTTTTTCACTCAAAAAATAGTTGAGTTTCTCATAGACTCCGGAGGGGAAGGGAGTGTTGGTCTGGAAGTCAGCGCTCTATTTGCAGCACTGGTTGTATGCAAAGTGTTTGTACTTCGCTAGCCTTGAACCCACTGCCTGTCAGCCCCCATACCTTTTCTCAGGTCATTATCACTCCAGTATTTATTCAAAGCAATGGTATATTTATATCGTTTATATACCGTTCAGCGCAATGAACATGCATTTCATGTCCAATCGATTTTGGAAACTCTTATTTTTTGTCGCTTTTTGCGAATTTGTTTCCTTTTTATAAAATCTATTTTTTCCGAAACTTTTTTATCGACAATTTTTTCGTTACATTTCTTCATTTCAATGCATTTTTCCGAACAAAGGCATCTATGAATGAGTTTTTTGTTTTTAATTTATTTAAGGGCACAGAAAGTTTCAAACTATGTTTAAGTACCCCTACCGTAGAGGGGATTATATTTACTTTACAAACGTATATAAATGTCTTGAATTTAAAAATTGTTTCTAATTTTATTCAACGACATTGTGATTACGAAAGGACTTTCATGTTATAGAAAGGGGTTTGGGTTTAATAAATCAATTGAGTATTTAAACAGTTTTTTGATGGGTTAGACGGCCTTGGTACTACAAAAAAGTTATTAATTCTTTATGTATGCAATCAATTCCTTTATGTGAAAAACATTCACTTATTATTACAGAATCTATATATCGTTTTTAAAATAATTATTTAATGTAAATAAATTGCTTTGATTTAATGATATAAGTGTTAGAAACAATCAGTCAATACAATAAAGTTTATATAATTTTTTATGGTTATGTCTCCGGTGTATGTGTTGTCAGATAGGAGTTTGTGTTGTCTGAAGGGTTGAACATCTGAACAAAGCCTTGAAAACCAGTTTTGTTTCTCTATTTTCTTTAATCGCAGAGATTCTCAAAATTCAATAAATTATCCATTTTTTGTCTCTACATCGATGTCAATGGTGACCAGGATTATTGACTCCCCGGGTTGGGGGTCGACCTAAGTATATGTTTTTTGGTGATTAGATTTGTCGCATTCCCCACCCAAATGAGTTCACACTATTTATATGTTATATTCTTGTGTTTGTTTATGTTTTGCCACAAATTTTACGGTTATTTGCGATAAGAATCTAATGAGACATTCCTTCTGAAGATATTCACTCTCTGCTCATATCTGGCAATGAATTGTCTTTTTATCACTTATTTAACCACACATTGCATGCATGGCATAAACATTGTGTTTAAACTTATAATTCAATTATATTTTAATAGTTGTTATGCGAGTAGAAACATATTGTAAGAATTTTATTCATCTAATTTTGTATATATTGTTGTTAAATAGCTTATTATCAGTAAATTTAATTTTAAGACGATAACATGAAAACATATTTTATAGTTTAATGTTAAATAATATAAACACACGGATCATGTGTATTTGAATAAATTAAATTTCCATTGCTTGTATATATTTTATATAACATATGTGCCGTAAAATATGTAAACGTTATGAAAAATAGTTTATGTATTTCATCATTATTACTGTACTATTCAGTGAGATATTAAATATATTTAATTTTGTTTTGAAACTCATGTTTAAAATACAGTTTTTATACGAAAAAAGAAAATAGTATTTTTAAAATAGTGTTTATCGTTTGAAAATTCTAAACGATTTAGTTGGAAATTATATTTATGTAGCTGTAACTCCATAATCAAGGTCGCTTACAGTGAAAATTTATATCATTGATAAAAAATAAATGTAAATAAAAATATTTGGGA